TGGTAGTTCGCACTTTTTGGGACTGCCTTGCGATTTTCCTGAATACAGAAATCTGTGACTGACGGAGGTATCTGTTAAAAATGGATACTATTTTATTATTTGTCCAAGCAGTTCTTTTAGCTGGAGCAGGATTGGCAGGTTTTGCAGCTGCCATAACAATAGGTCTTTCAAGAGTAAGCAGTCCATGTCATTATCTACTTACATGTAATTCTTAAACGTAGTTTGATTTAGTCTAGGCTAGGTCTTCGAAAACTAAGAGTGAGTACTAGTACCTAGGCCTAACCTTGCTAGAGTAGTAGTACAGAGACCTCTGGCTGAAGTTTGTCAGGGGTAGGCCTAGGTTTGATTTGGCCTACGACTCGTCGAGTCGGTCACATGTTTCGCAGGGAGTGGCCTCCAACAACAATTAGTTTGTCACTATAGATGCATTGCTGTTTCCTTGAGGGCTGTTTTAACGATGAATTTTTTCCGGAAAATGTGGAAATATACATTTTCTTAGCAATGCCTTTTTAAATTTTATGAATATTATGATATCTTTTCATTCCCAAGTTGATGTTGGCTGTCCTGGAAATATATATTGCATGGGAACTGAACATAAATTTACCATTGATTGAATGTGACTCATAGGGCCCGTTCTAGCGAAATACGCCAACCGTATTCCGTTTATGTCACCGTTTAATCGTGCTGAGCACTTTTAACGGGTGGTCGACCGTTTAAGTAAGTTTTAGCCCATGTTAAATACCGTGTAACGAAACTACTTCGGAAGTAAATTTCAACTTATCCCATGGTTAATAACCCATTCTTTGTTTAATTTCTACCGTTGCCACGTACTCACAGTGTGGCATGCAGTAACGATATTTGAACTCAACAACGCTGCTTTAAAATCTGTACGTAGGCTAGTTTATTAAAGATTATTTCTCCGAATAATGGTAAATCTGCAAATCGAATGCATCGCTATGCTAACTTCGATCGTCGTGCACATGAGGAGGTGAAGGAGAGCTGCAACCAGGAGAGGGCCGTAAACCTGTTGAACTTTGTGTGCTGGACTGTTGACAAAACATTTGGAATAACAATTAAGGTTGATTTATCGTCTCCTCCGGCTCCATGGTCATTCCATACATGGTATTCTACCCAGAAAACTGGTGGTCAAAATTGTCACGGATAATCTAAATGGTAAGGTAATTAGGCTAGTGTGGGAGCGGTTTTAGAAAGTGTGCAGGTGAATTAACTGGTAAATTGCACATATTTTTTCACCCGAACGGGCCACTAGATGCCTAACTTTAATTTATTTTTCTATTTTGTTTT